GTGACCAAAAAGTAAAAGATGCACTGCTAGTCTAGCTGAAATTAATTTTTGTGAGTGATCTGAATTTATATTTTTCTAAGTCATTATGCTGTTTTAATAATATTTGTTGAATAATTCATTCTTTTCTTACTGGTCTAAAATGTCACTTTTATCATTTACTCAAAATATATTTGTGTTTCTGAAGTCTCAGCTCTACGAGGGATTTATTTTTGGCACCAGTCACCTGAGTTATTCTTGACTTGGTTCATTGAAGAGTAGCTGATTTTTGTCAGCCAAGATGATGAGTGTGTTGCTTGTGAAACAATACACAATATGACTCATGACAGACGAATCCTATTCTAGTTGTTTGATTTAAATCCGTTCCATTATCTACAACTTAATAGTATTAAAAATATGTAAACTTCTTTCTCAGATTAGTTCCTTTTTTAGGCTCAGTGTCAAGGTGAGAGACTTTTCACCCGTTCCCTCCTTTTAAAACAAAAGTATTATTTGATGTTAAAGCTTTTTGGTGATATAAAGTTGTATCCTGGTAATATCAAAGGATTTTACATGGCATGGTGATAGTACTGTTGATTTATATGAACCTTCCATCTAACAAACGATACGAGGCTCACAAACTATGACATATATTCTAAATAAACAATATGGTACTTCCGCTTTTAGACTTACACTGGGCAATGGGCTCCCGGAGCGCACAAATCATGTCCCATTCTGTTTTCTATCCCCAAACATCTAGTACAGGGTGCAGCACCTATATTGAAATAGAATTAAATTGCATTTCAACATCGCACCTATAAAATAAAAAATAAAACTCAAAGCTCTTAAAAAATTCACTTTCAGGGACTTATGACGTTGTACATATTTATCTTTTTCTGTCCATGCAAGTTTGTCACTTGCTTAAGGTAGGAAAATTAGAATTAGACACTGACCTGATATTACTTCAATTCCAAGTGTGGGGGAAATTCTCCCTTGCTCTCTGTGGACATCCTCAGGTATGATCTATCTATAGATGTGCTGCTTGCCTGTGAAATGATGGCAAGAACTGTGATCTGGCTAACACTTGGGTTGCGGCAGATTTACTGTTGTTATATGGAAATATCACAGGCATGCAAACAAAGAAGAAAATACCTCAACTTTTTAAATAAATAAAAGTTAAACGGTGGCATTTGCTGTGCTTTAAAATTCGTTTATTTTTATGATCCTAAGTTAGCACACCTTTTCCTTTCCTCCAAAGGGAGAAATATGGCTTCTGTGGATAATGTCTTGGTCTGTAAACTTAGATACTCTGGACCCATGATAGACAGTGGAAAAGTTCCCAAGACTGCCAAATCTGTCAGTTTCCCCGGTTAGAAGAACAAATAAAGCTAACTCACCATCCAGGTATGTTGAACAAATTCAATGACTGAATGGACTGTGCCAGTGCAAAATACCAGCTTCTTCTTACTTTGTCATCACTAGTCCCAAAAACCTTTAATTATTTGACCATTCCATGGGGGGGAGGAGGGGGAAGCAAGAATGTCTCTGAACTTTAACTTTTCACTTAGCATTTTTCTTCTGTGAACACAGCATGTCATACCAGTTGTATTCCACAAAGGAAATAGCAACAACATTTGCACTTGTACAGGATTGCACTTGTACAGTAGGCAATCCTTCCACCTACAAAGGGAATCAATGTGTTTAAAGAACAGATCTTGATATAGAAATTGTTGACTTGGTACAAAAATATGAGATAGTGATGACATATTTCTGGAATGCTAAAAATGGGTAATAGGGTGCAAATATATATCACTAAATAATAAAATAATAATAAAACTATTAGTATTACTAGAAAGCAGAAATATGGATTGAGGCAGAAGGTGGGAACAAAGGTCTGGTTTTGCATAGGAAGGAAACTTAAGCCTGCCAGATTGATTTATGTCAAAGAATGAAAGGCTACAGGCTAGCAAAACCTATTCTGACTTGGGCTGTCAGTACCTGCAATGGGGCCAGAACCTATATTCTCCTTTCCAGGAGCAAGGAATAGCTTTTACGGAAAGGCTTTGGAATCATCCTAATCCTAGTTACCATAGAAGGATTAAATTTAGTTTACCTTTAGGGCTGAATTGACACAGATACATGAAGTGACAGCACAGGCTCCTCTATTCCCCCTACCCTTTTGTTAAAATTATTGAAATTCCTTTAGCAGGAAGCAAAGACTTTCATTTCATAGAGATATAGATGACTGTTGGGAGGAAAAGACTGACCCAAACTTTCAAGGATGAGTTGGGCCCTTTGATCTACCTTTGAAAGGGCAAGAAAACATGGCACCTGATGTTGGGAAAGCAAAGTTCATTGTGGAGGGGTAAATGGTACTCAAGGATCCAAGATAAGCTTCCTTCATGAGCTTCACAAAATTACCTATGTAGTTTAACTGCCTTCTCATCATTTATTTTCTGGATTATTGTTGTCTTTCTTAAATGATTTTTTGGCTTCCAGTTTCAGCTACCTTCATCTACCTCTCACTTGCCTCTGGAATTGTGCACAATATCCCATTGCTTAAAATCATTCAATATGTCTTTCTGAATAGATGTCAATCTACTAAGGTCAGAAGGGCAATCAGTCATCCCAACTCCAGTGAAGTACTGTGGTTGCCCTATGAACTTTTTTCATGCTGTCCTTCAAGCCTTTGTGTAGTTTTCCTGCGCTTGAGCTTGGCTAACTTGTGACCTTCAGAATTCAGGTATAAGCTCTTTGAGAAAACCTACCCTGACAAAGCCATGTTGACTGTACATATTAATACTTTTCATTGCATCATAGATAGAGGGTAGCCACCATCAATTGGCTTGTCTATAGCCTCAAATTGCAAATCATGAGGGCTGGGTTTTATCCTAATAGGATTATTGAAGAGAATTGAATCATGTCATCGAGTGTCTGCCACTGAGATATAAAGCTTCCTTGAACAATATGTGACGTCAAATCATCTTAAAAAGTGCTCCCTTAAAAACTAAAAAAGTTCAGCTAATATTTTACTTTCGGCTCTACAAGATAACTTTCTATAAAGAATAGAGGTATCCTGGTTACTCTAATCTTACATTCAAGACACACACACATGTACACACACACACAAGTCCAGGAGTTTGGAACTTAGAGTAATACAATCTCTGATGTATTAAAGTTCTTGTGAATAATGGCAGTTGTGACCACCAATCACTGGAGGCTTGATTGTATGACATTCTTGTCTCAGTATTTCTAATTGGCTTAGAACATTATAAATATAATTGGGAAAACCTAGTCATATTGAATGTACAATTATGAGTTACAGAAACTCTGTATTTAATTACCCTTACCCTCTTATTTCTGGTGTGGCAAGCTGTGAGATTACATTGCAGCTACCTAAAATGAGTTTTCTTTATAGAAAGTTAGGCTTGAATTGTAGAAAACTACCGTATTGGAAAAATTGCTACTTACAATTTGCTTGTTGGCTAAGTGAGCCCAAAAGAAATCTTACATGGACCCTTGGTCTATAGGCATTGCACTAAGAAAACTAGATAGATGGTATAAGACTGTGACCCCAAACTGGAATCTCAATCAGTTAATATTCAGTTATCAGGAGACCCTCAATCTCCAAAGTAAAACTGAAAGTTTCTTAAGATTCTAAATAATTAATCAGAGGAATGCTTGACATTTCCAAATACAATATATTTGATGCTAAAAACTGTAACAGCTTTCTTCCTTTAAGTGTTTCCTGACTTTGGAGTGGGGGCGTGCCTCATGAGAGTAGGTTTGGATGTACAGGCTTCCTTCCATCCTTTTTTTTTGCAGGCGGGAGAGATGTAGATTGGGTTCTGAGGAAAGAAGGGGATGATGGTAAAGCAGAGGACAGGCACTACAATAATTTTGCATTTTTTTAACAGTGCACCATGAGTTGAGTATCTTCTCATGTCATTACATTGAAAAGCTTATTAATATTTAATATTTAAGGCTCTTGAAACATATTGCCTAATTACTTTCTAGAAACACAGGAAAGCCTGCCTTTCTACATTAAATTCTGCTACTTAAAAGACACTTATAACAATGCCTTAAAAATATTAATTTGCATTTCTCAGGTTACTAGAGGTTGAACCTTTAGCAAGTGCCATTTATTTCTTCTGTGAACTATCCATGTTTTATCTCCTTTTCTATTGTTTTTTGTTAAATGTAAAAGTAGTAATAATTACATTAGTCATTTTAAACCTTAACCTATTACTCATTTCCTTAGAGACTATTACTTTGTGTAGAAAGTGTTTTTCTATCCTCAGAATCAAAATTAATATTTTTTCACAAAAATCCCAACCCTTTTCTAATACTAGTTTTTCTCCACCTGTGTTAAGAATCATAGTTGGGACTGGAGGGACACACCCAGCAAACCTTTTGGTTAACATACCAACAGCAAAGTTTCACATTCTATCTCACCTGTGTTGGCTTTACTTAGAATCTTACTCCATATCCTTAGGGCTGCTTACTCAAGCTTATGTACTTAGTTCCTTTAATTATTTCTCATGTCATTAATTAACATTAAAATTTTGTTCACTGAATATATCCTGCAGCACAACTAGAATATAAAATATTTGGCAATCCCAATGTATATATCCCAATTTTATGCCTTTTGTTTGTATATATCCCAATTTTATGCCCGACTTTTATTTGAAATAGGTAAGAACACATCTCGGAGAACTAACTATTGGTTCTCATTAACTCTTGATTAGCTAGTGGGCTACAGACATAGCGCATGTTAATTTCTACAGGCACCTTTCTGAATTCAAGTAAAAGTTTTGGTAGACAAGGATTTCCTACCTAAGTATCATTAACACAATACAAACACTGAGTACAAATATTGCTCACCATTCTTGCATTCTTTAAATTATTTTACTTTGAAAATTTAAGAACTATCAAGTCATTAATAACAGGTTTTCATTTAAGGAATATTCTGAACTGTGAAAATACAAATCTAGTCAAATTTTGAACACATATAGAGCCAAATATTTCAACAAAACTGCAGTTTAATTTCAGAAAATGTGTTAAAATATATATTTATACATCAATTTCTGACATACACTTAATGTGTTAGTATACACAAAATGATGCTTTCTCTTGAAACTGTATTTATGAAATGTACATTTTAATTTAAATACTCAGTATACACTGCACTTAATCTGCATGTTGCATTTATTAAATACATTAAAATCTGCAATGTAACAAAACGTTTTCTGCATACGAAATTCAAAACACCATTTTAAATGAACAAAAGATGGCTCACTTCATTTTTTTTTTTTTTACAACTAGTGTATTGTACACTAGCTCAGCTCCACCATACTACCTGTTCTTTCTTTTTTACTTGACATTGTTCACAGACTAGTACATATTACAATAAGAGTGCTGGATAAAAACATGAGGTACGAAAGTGGTTCAAAGATTATAGGTCATGCAGATCATGCTAGACAGCAAAGAAAATTGTGACCAAGAAAACACTAAATAAAAATACATAAAGAATGTGCATTATAAAAAAAAAAACCAAAAAAAAACAACTCCATTACACAGCTTTGCTTCTTTGGTTACAAAGTAGGTTGAACAATTTCACAGCTTTTTATTCCCACCCGAAAAAAAAAACAAAGTCATACGAAATGTTGAAAAGCAGAGGAATCATGGCAATTTCTCTATTAGAAAGTAGAAACAAATGAACAGAGTTTTCTTCATCAAAATAGCCCAATTATTTATTATATCACAATAACTGGTGACTACCTGTACAGTTGCACTATGTTCTTCATACTTACACTATACAAAATTTACATTCAAGCTGGGTCTTTACTACTGAAAATAAATACCAAAGGTAAATTGCCATTAGTGTTAGAAATATGCCAGGATTCTTTTGTTCAATTATTGCATAAACGTTTTATTAAATGCAATCCTGTCTTTAAATTCCTTTACTGATACTTATAATTATTCAAAAAAATTAAAAAAGTTCTGTGACATTGTTCATGTACATTATGAAAATAGCAGCCCTGTAATAAATAAAACACAAATAAATGAAAACTTATGTAGGCAAATGTTACTGATATTGAAAGAAAAGTGGCTCTTTAGATGAACTGTTATTTATAATGTGATAGGAAGGCTCAGGGTAAATCCATGGGTAATAGGAAACAAGGGAGAGCCACCAAAACTCTTAAAGACCCTACTCGTGCGCACCAGGTAAAATGCAGACTTTGCTTGCTTTAATAAACCCCATCTATTATTCTCCTTGTGTACTGATGACATGGAACTGGACATCAACAGCGCTGCATGACATCTCAGAGAGAGAAAAAGCTCTTGTAGAATGATTGTCTAATACTGAAAAGGCCAAACACACAACCAAAGCATGGCTACTTGCTTTCGTATAAAGTGGAAAGAACATCAGTGGCACACAAGGATAGATTGCTTTCAGTTTTTTTCTTAATGAGGCTTAAGAAAGCTTTATGCTGAGGAGACATTCGGCTGCTGTGGAGGTTGCGTTGGCTGCGGAGGCTGTGCTATCACTGCTTGCTGTTGAGAAGTGCTACCAGGATTGGCCTGTTGGGCTGGGAGTTGGGATAATTGATCATTGTTTGAAAGAGATTTTAACAGTGCATTTTCTCGTTCAAGTAAAGAGTTTCTTTCAACTAATTCTTTTATTTGTTCCTTTAAAACTTCCACTTCTTCTCTTACTGCATACATCAAATGGCTTTTCACCAGATCCTGTGGAAAACAAAATTATGAATGTCAGAAAGAGTGAAAAGGAAAGCAGTTCTGGTCTACTTGGTGCCTTATAAACACAAGGTGTTTCTATATTAATTTTTCTGCTCTTGCTTTTAATGTTTCCACTATATCAGGCCTATGGAGAACGGGGTAGAAAAAATTCCAGTGCCCAACTAGAGCAGCAAACCCAGGATTTTCTTTTCAAAGTCTGGAATAATTTCTAAAAGTATTTGTTCCCTAAATTGTCAATTATAAGCTTAGAATTTTTTAAAAGAAATCACATGCTTAGATGTTAGATCACGAGAACAAGGGCATAATATTCCAGTGGAATGCTGTCTGATGTTAAACTAGGTATAGTACTGCTTTAGAGATAAAGTGACTTGTAATTTCCAACTTTAAATCTTAGGATTTGTTTTTAATACATTGGGACCAACAGTCCTTATTTGTAGCTTATCTACAGTCTATTTGGATCAGATTTCCAGCTGAAGCTTTCACTTTAATACTTTCTTTTTCTCTAAACTACCTATTTTCAATGCTGAAATATTCTGAGAACACACTACATTTAATTATGTATGCTCTCCCCCCGAATGGCCCCTGATTTATCAGTGGTAATGCATAAAATGTGAGATGTTCAAATGGGAAAAATATTTACTCAACTGGTGTTTCTAGACTAAAAATTCTCAATGTTCTAGCATCTTCAACTAAATCTCATTATCAAAAAATATACCTTGTCATGCTGGTTTATATACATACATATATATATATTATATCACATATACATACATATATATAAAATTTGGTTATCTGTAGTTTAAATAAAGTGTTTGTTTTCTAAAATTGATAAAAACTAAGTGCTCCATACAACCAATAATCTATGAAATGAGAGAACCAAAAACTTTTACTTACCATCGCTTGTTCTATTTTGTTGTCAATGGCTACAACACCTCCCCCAGATGCACTGGAAAAAATTACAACATTTCATTAAATTATTCTAAAAAATTGAACCACCTTTCCAACTCTTAACATAATGTAAGACATATGTGTTTTACTTAAAAACCAAAGACAGTAATTTAAAATAGCTTATTAAGTCTATTCTCACAATTCCAGTACTCAGAGCTCTCATTTCTCAGTAAGTAGATGACTTCTAAAAATCCTTTGATGTTCCATTTCTAATTTGCTCATGATGTACATATGCTGCTTTAAAACTAACTCTCTATTCTATTCAGAAGTTCTCAACTCAGTGGTCTTAAAAGGAAACATTTTTACAGTAGCAACACCCTTACCATATCTCTTAAATTTCTTCGTTAACCAACTATATATTCTAATTGCCTTTCATGGGGAAATCCCTGTAATTACTTATTCCATTAAAATTCAGATGATGACTTTTCTTCTGTAAGTTAACATATGAGAGGGCTTTGGGGCAGGACTGGTTAACAAGAAACTCAACATTCTGGCAGACCTACATGCTTCGATTATAGGTTACTTGCTGGCAAAAATCACCTAATAAAGTATGTGGTTTAAACCAGTCTAAGTAGTAAGAACATCCCAAGTCCAGATATCATCTTAGCAATTATATGATAATAACACAGAAGGCTGAATAATTGTCCTCTTTGGTAGTTTATATTTTCCTATATATTAACTTAAGTCTTAGTAATAGCCAAGACTCTATAGCCTTTTATTGATAATTTTGTAAATTTTAAAAAAGTTACTAATTTTTTTTTTTTTTTTTTTTGAGTTGGAGTCTCACTCT